AAAAAAAAAAAAAAAAAAAAAGAAAAAAAAAGAAACAAATATAAACGAGTACAAAGATAAAGAGAGTTCAGTCGATTTGTTTTCCGCTTCGCTCGTTTCAGTTTCGAAAGAATGATTGGTCGAATAATTACGCTACTCGTTGTACGAGATGCAAACGTACACGCGCAAGAATAAAATTTTCGAAAGTTTGCTTTAAGTAGACATTTTAGCGCGAAAGTTTACTCTCCAATAGTAGAAATACCCTCGGTGGCCAACTCTCGAGAGTTTTACTCTAAGATATATTATAAGGGATATTACATCAGTACGCAGTGTGTAATCATATTGTACGCAAAAAACGCGTACGATCAAGAGGAACAAGCGTTGCTTCATCGTTCGCTGTATAACGTGGGTTCTTCGAGGAAGAGCGATCGGTAAAACGCGCTTTGCTTGCGCTTCGTTATTTCTTCTTTTTCTTCTTTTTTTTTTTTTCCTTTTTTTTTCTTTTTTTTTCTTTTTTTCTTTTTTTTTTTTTTTCTTTAAATACATACGTAAGTACGTTTCGCTCGAATCGATCGTTAAATATTGCGTCCAATCACGATTACGATTTCGATTAATTATAATGGCACGATTACAATGATCATTGTGCGTTCGTTTCGTTTTGTCGACGGTTCGAATCGGTTCACACACGGTTGTTTCGCCGATTTAAACGATTGGGTACAATAAAAGGTAAGCTTGATACGTCACAGATTTACAACAACGAAAGAAATATCGATTCTTGTATAATATATTTTTTTTCTTCTTTTCTTTAATTATTGCCTTCGATTGGAATAATTTCTTCTCTTTTAAAATGCATCTAAACATCGTGTATATAACATTTTTAAAACTTATATCGTTCGATTAAAATTAAATATTCGGAAGATAGATAGATACAAAAGTTTGGGATGTATTTTTATGGAGATCAACTTGAAGATGAACATTGGACAATGGTATCTCGCGGTGAAAGCTTTCTTTTCTTTTTCTTTTTTTCTTATATATATATATAATTAAATACATTATTCGTAATTCTCCTAAGTATTTCCATTTTTCGAATTGATCCATTGATTGATAGAAGACTGATTGCCATTGTAAAGTTATGACAATTTCACACTCGCAGTATCAAATACGTGTACACATTTCAAACGTATATAATATGATTTAAGAATGTAAATATAATATATATATATATATATATATATATATGTATACATATATATACATATAATCGACAATTTGAAAGCCACGTATATCCGGTATACGCGAATTATTTCGTTTCCATCGAGTTCTCACGGTCTTTCGGATATATATATATTACGGATATATGATCGCGTATCGACTTTTCCTTCTTTTCTACTGTGATCGGTACCATTGAGAGACCGTTTGATCGATTTATACAAATCTTAAAAAAGATCACGATTAGGAATATTAAAAATGAGACAAAGATATGATTGAAACATCGGAGAAGGAGAATCCCTTGTATCACAAGAGATACAAGATGAAGTACTTGACGTAAAACTCGTGATCGATAAGCGACGTACAAATCATTCAATTATTTTTCCTTTTCTACGCGAGAAACAAGAAAAAGTACGTATTATCTGAAACATATTACTCGTCATGACGATCAATTTTTCACTTTATCCTTCGACTTATTCTTGCCTCTTGTTCTCGCTCTATCTAATAAAAAATAAAAATTCGAAATCATTATTTATGAAAATCACTTTCGTTCTCTTAATAATTACTCTCAACCCAAATCACGGCAAACGAAATGATCAGACGCATGAAACGCACTCCGCTTTTAATCGTCGTCCCTCTCCTCTCTCTATCAAGCGATTCCTCCCCTTCTCTCGTTTCCTTTTTTCCTTTCTCTCTCTCTCTCTCTCTCTTACACGCACACATACACATACGCACATTTTCTTTCGTTTTTTTGTTTGCTTTTTCTTTCTTTTTTTTCTTTTTTTTTTTTTTTGCTCCTTTCGATTCGGAAAACAAGCCTACCCTAACCTAAGTTTATATACAAATTGTTACGCTCGATAAAAGAGACACGGCGATACACCGCGACTCAGTCGACACTCAGTTCCTCCCGTGCACGTCGTGGAAAACGCGCGGGGACGTTTCGCGGACGTGGCGCGCCATTATTATTGGCTGTTGTTCATCACGTTATTCTGCTTCACGGAATCCATATTGGGGATGTAGTCCATCGCCATCAGGCAGGCGAACACCGTCATCACCATCTTCGGTTTCACCTCGGTTATGTCTTCTGGTAGCGCGTATACTCGCGCTCCGCATTTTCGGGCCAAGGATATCGCGTACTTCGCGTTGTCCAGGTTCTCCTGAAACAGTTGAACAGGAACATTAAAACGCATCTAGGTCGAGAGAATAGGTCGGTCGAGGGATTTGCAAATTCGTCCGATTAGAAATTTATTCTTAAAGAAAAAGAAGTGCAAGAAAACGATAAAACGTTTTTGAAAACCGATGGAAACGATTTTGAGCATACTGGAACGTAAAAAACGTGAAGATAATAACTACTTCGATCCTATCTTTTTGCTTTTCTCCTTTGAAATCCTGCTCGATCCCCCGAGGAAAGAAAATCTGGAGGATAGAAACGGCGTACTAAAACGTCTCGGCTCGAGACGTTTACGAGGTCGTAACTCAGAAACGGCGGGATCGAGACCGGGTTAAAAACCGATAGGACGACGATTTGGAACGTGGACGACTGTAAAAGTCGAACGAAATCGACCGATTTGCAAAGGAATAACACGAATAATAAAGAAACAATCCGCGTTACCTCCTCGGTACCGCCCTCCTTCACCAGGTCGTAATTCACTGAACCGGGCTTGATGGCGTCGATCAGATCGATCACCACCTTGCCATCGGCTATCGACGAATCCTGGAACCCCTTGATACCGCTCGCCTTCCCTGCCGCCTGGAGCTTCGAGTTCACCCACTGGACGATCTCCTTCTCGACCAAGGTGCTTCCTTGGGTGCCGGCCAACGACGTGAGGATCGACAACGTGTACGACCTCATCAATTGCCAGATCAACGCCAGTGTCAACGTTGCGTTGCCATCGTTTATATCCTGACCCGCGATCCCCACCAACGAGAAATTCATCGTTTTCCCAAGCTCGACCGCGTAATTGCAATTCTCCAACTTCTCCATGAACTTGCGCAACTTGGTGAACTTTTTGTGCACCCGATTCCAATTCACCGTGCCCGGTTTGATGATGTCGTAAAGTTGGAAGATGACCAGGCCGTCGGCCAGGTCCGAGTACAGCCAGTTCACGTGGGGAACCACGCCCATCGAGTTCATCCAGTTACGATAGGTCTTCTCCTCCCTGGTCTCCTCCAACGATTCCAACCCTATGTTGTTCTCCGGCTTGTCCAACCCCGGATAATTGTTGAACATGTTGGCGACGAAGGCGAGATTCAGCTTGTATATGCCGTTCACCACGTCGC